TATGTGTGTGTGTGTGTGTGTGTGTGTGTGTGTATGTATATATATATATATATATATATATAGAACGCGAACAGTATCAGCGGAACTAAAGTTGAAAGGCATCTTGAGGTATTCGTAGATTATATCCCATTCTCACCCTTTGGGTAAGGGGCACCCCTCCTTACATGTTTATGAGGATATACTACACTAGTCAATCTATTAGGGGCAGAGCGTGTAGGAGGGTCACCACCCTCCACCACTCTCGAGTGTAAATTTTGCACCACTCTCGAGTGGGGTAAACAGGTGAACAGACATCGTTAGTGGTAGCATACCTCCTCCGAAGTCATATCATGGAACTCTTCCCAAATGGCCATACGCAGCTCGGCTACAGCTATGACTTCATTGTCGCCTTCCATAATAAAAAGTATATTTTCTCTTACAAACAAGTACACGAATTAGCTCTAAAAATCTATATATTCACCGGACAGCTTGTGTCTTATCAGCTTCTTGCGCTGTCCTACACACAGCTTGCCTATACAAAGTATTGTTCAGGCGAGAACTTTAAAATCACAGCACAGGATACTTAAAGGAGCACAGGCGTGCGCAGCCGCACGTCGCACGACACCTCTGAAATAAGAAGGGATCGAATGGATGGATGATGAAGGAAATAGTCATTTAGCGAATTGATCAGAAACAGGACTGAGGACCCGCTATAGTCTATTTAGTAGAAAAAGAAAATATACCACAACTTCCACAAGTCCACAACGTACCGGACTACCGGTACAAAAAAATTGGAACCCTGTAGAACTAAAAAGGGTAATAAAAAGCCAATATTTCTATTCCTAATTTACTACTGTTCTAGAAGTGGTGAATAATTTTATTTATAGAGTACGTTGTGGTCCATACAAAGCGATGCTCATATACTTTTATTATACATATAGTATATTCAAAAATTCACGTATAATCATGTGATGTATTTATGTACGTACGTGTATATCGTATATGACTATGAATTTATATTAGGATTTAGGGGATCAGCGTAAAATACATCAGATCAAGTGTATGGGGTATAGTTATATACCTCTAGATTATTATCACAACGAATTTAGTGCTTTACCTAATGCTTTGTAAATGGCCTCTGACTTGAAGGGTGCATAAGGTTGCAGTTTCCAATTACTTTATAAATAACGGTGTAGCTTATTCTGTGTTTCTTTAAGTTGGTCATCCAGCATATTTTACGTGGCCCTACATAGTCCGGATAAACATACACTTCAAAACAAGTTTTATATCTACAGCCTGCACTCATATATCTATCTTCACGTATACTGGTAGTATCATAGTGATAACCCCATATACAAGTATTTGATCTATCTTAAGGAATATATATATATATATATTATATGTGTATATGTATGTATATATATGTGTGTCACATATACAAAAGCATTGGGGATAAATATATATAAATAAAACTCACCATGAGCAATCCCATATCAATCATATCACCCAACCAAAACCGGAACGTACGCGCCCCATCACCACTGAGAAGTATGTCGCATACAATATCGCCTTCACAGTGGCACTCGAATGAAGGGTTTGACAGTTTCGAGGCTGATAGTAAGCCCGAGCACATCATACCAACAGACACACACACGCAAACAAACACACCCACACCCACACAAACCGAACGTCAGTCAAATGATCCAATAGTAGGGTCTCCTGTTCTGTTAACTGTGGATGAGGCTGACAGCCCAGCGGGAAAGACAGAAGTTAACGACGGTGCTGGGACAAATACAACGCCCCATCACAGGTCTAAACGAACGTGTGTCGAGTGTACTGTCGTATATATTGGAAGTTAGGGTTTGTATCACGGATATTGGTACGTGTTTATGGAATCGGTGTCTATAGCATGATATTGCTACGTGCAATATTGAAATGGGGGTGCCGAGTTTACGTCTGATAGTTGAATTATCTAAAGTGGGTTCAGAGGTATGCATTTGCAAGGATTCGGCTTTGGTAGTCAATACTGATAACTGGGGGTTAGAGAGATCAGACGTACAAGTTGATATTAATATGACAAACTTGCACTATTTAGTAGGCACTAAGCAAACACATTGGCTTTCGATCCTTACAATTATTTTTCTAAATATATAATTGTTTTATATTATAAATATATAATTGCGTTTATATTATTTT